GTGTGTTGAAGATTGTGGTAAGTGGTATGCACAACATATCTGCTCCCTCTCTAAGGACCCATGGAGAGATGTTGTCCGGTCCCATTGCCTTTGAGGTATCGATGTCCCTTAGCAGTTTCTTCACCTCCTCCTCATCTGTATGTATGTCGTCCAACACTTGTTGGTATATTCCTTGTTGGTGTCCCCATCTGGTCTGTCCCCCCAGAGTCCTTCCTGTCTCTACTGTAAATACTTCCTTAAATCTCGTGTTGAGCTCCTCACATACCTCTTGATCGTTTCTTGTGAGTTCTCCACCTTCTTTCCTCAGCCTTATCACCTGGTCCTTGACTGTTGTCTTCCTCCTAATGTGGCTATACAGCAGTTTCGGGTCAGATTTGACTTTCGATGCTATGTCGTTTTCATACTGTCGCTGGGCCTCCCTCCTTATCTGCGCATACTCGTTTCTGGCTCTTCTACTAATCTCCTTGTTTTCCTGGGTCCTATGCCTCCTGTACCTTTTCCATTCTCTGTTGCACTTAGTTTTTGCCTCCCTACACCTTCGGGTAAACCAAGGACTCGTTTTGGTCTTCCTATTATTTCTGTTTCCCTTGGGAACAAAACTTTCCTCTGCCTCCTTGCACTTTGTTGTGTGTGTTTGTGTGTGTGTGTGTGTGTGTGTGTGTGTGTGTGTGTGTGTGTGTGTGTGTGTGTGTGTGTGTGTGTGTGTGTGTGTGTGTGTGCGCGCGCGCGCATGTGTATGTGTATTCACCCAGTTCTCACCTAGTTGAGGTTCCAGGGGTCGAGTCCAAGCTCCTGGCCCCACCAGGATGTGTGTGTATGTGTGATGTGCATGTGTGTGTGTTTGTGTGTATGTGTTTGCGTGTGTGTGTGTGTGGGGGGTGTGTGGGGGGGTGTGTGGGGGGGTGTGTGGGGGGGGTGTGTGGGGGGTATGTGGGGGGTATGTGGGTGGGGGGGTATGTGGGTGTGTGTGCATGTGGGTGTGCATGTGGGTGTGCATGTGTGGGTGTGCATGTGTGGGTGTGCATGTGTGGGTGTGCATGTGTGGGTGTGCATGTGTGGGTGTGCATGTGTGGGTGTGCATGTGTGGGTGCGCATGTGTGTGCACGCACACTAGGCTACACTACTCTTGAAGATTATAAAAATTTTTCACAATCATTTCCTTATTAATATACACTAATATATACTATATAATATTTACTGTGTACACTTGTGTTTTGTGTGTGTGTGTTTACTAGCTTGTCGTTCTTTGAAAAAGAGGGGGAGGGGTCAGGTTAACACTATTTGTTATTGTTGTTGGTTCACCGGTACTCTCCCGGCCCAGATCTTCGCACACTACGCTACGTTACCTTTTGAAGATTATAGGATTATTTTTTTCTCACTCAATTCCTTATTAATATATACTAATGTTTATTATAATAATAATTACTGGTGCACATGTGTTTGTATGTGCGTACTTGTTTACTAGCTTGTCGCTGTCAGGGGGGGGGGTTCACTAGGCTACACAACTCTTCTGAAGATATTTAGATAATTTACTAAACATTATCAGGGTTACCACTATCTATCTCCTGGTACTGAAAGTTAGGGAGAGAATGATGGTATAGCATACAACCAGCAGGGCGAGACACTGACTTTAGACACTAACCAAAATTAACCAGTCAAGTGATGTCGTCTGCACAACAATGGAGGTTCCTGCTGGTCGGCTGCTATCAAACTCCTTCAATTTTGTAACTCCTTCAGGAACTTTATCATGCATTCAAGTTTTTCTTTTATTTTTCTTTTAAGACTTGGTATTCACTCTTTTTTCTTTAGTACAGTATTATGGTCATAACAAATCTGATGATATTAACTACATTCACAACACCAACAGCTGGGGATTGACTAATTTTTTCTTACTTTCAGTGTTTACTTAATCACTCGTTTATGACCTTATCACTACACTGCTGCTATAACCAACCAACATATGTATTTGTTAATATTTCAAATCACACCGTTAACCCAATTAACTGTTTGGATATTTTGTGTCAACACTGCGGCCAGCAGCCTGATCAGCTGACTGCTACCCTCCCTCACTCAACATTCATTCAAATCTAAATTGTAAAATTCTTGATCTTATCACATTATTCGCACTCTTGAAAGCTATTGCACTCTTGTAGGTATGTTCACTGATTCACTCACGTACGATGACCGCTAATAATATCTTAGGACAGCCACTAGAACGCTAAATCCTGGGAGAACTATTAAGGGATACTGCTTCACGTGTGAGTGTGAGTGTGAGTGTGTGCGCCCCCCCCCCCCCCCCCGAGAGAGGGAAACATTTTAAAAACCTGATTTATTCATATGTATACGACATCCCTGATCCAGAATAATGCTTTAATATCTTCTACTCCAGCCTATCAATCAACAATGGTACTAAAACTGCAAGCAAAAACTTAATTCAAACGAGGCTATTTATTTTTCATAAACACCTTGACAACTGCATTAAATATATTATCAAAAGTAACAGTGATAATTGAAACATTTAAAATTGTTTGACTTATAAATGTTCAAATAAACGAGAAAGGTTGTTCACTCTGTTTAAAAAGCCTATTTTGAAAAACTGCCACATATATTGTTAAAAAATCTGCTTCCGTGTGATCTGCTTTGTATTTCTTAAAAAAAAAAAGTTTTGTTTGTACGCAGAAGCTGCTGCACTTTGACTTAGGCTTTTATCTATGCAAAGAAATGAGCTCTGTTTGCAAAGGTACACTTATGTTTGAATTTACTTTGGTGTCTGGTTACTTTACGAAAGTGTACAACGTCATGACCAAAGAGAACTCAGATACATCCCATCAAAGTGAAGCGAGCAAGATACATGATACCAGCCTGGCTCCAGCACACTGAACGTGATATATCAGATACATACCCTCCACGTTCACCCTGGCTCCGGTATACCTTCCAGTAAACTGTTCATATACTACGCTGCCGAGGCTTGTCGAGAGCAGTTCCAGCAGTTTATTTCGTTCAAATCATTATTATAATCAAAACTAAGCGCTAAATTTCATTGATATGAATTTCATCAATAATTAATGAAAATTTGATTTTGCTAAACAAGTAAACATTTATATTTGTTCTCAGTAATAATAACAGTTCAGCCTTCCTTAGCAGCGGCAACACTCGTCCAGTAAATTGGGTGAATGTAATAACGTTTGTCCAGTCTGCATTGTTTAGAAAATACTGAACTGTAAGGAGGTCAAGTCTTGGCCAGCAGCCACTGTTAACAGACAAACACTCAGGAATTAACCTTTAGTATCTCCAGTGGTTCGAGGTTGTTGCTCTTCAGACTTGTTAAAGCTCTACACTGAGCGAAACGTTGTCTAATTAAAAGCTTGTTCTACAACTTGTCTTTGTCTTCATGAGCTCTGAGTAAGCCGAGTGACCGTCAATAAACTCCACGTAAACACACTTAACCTCGCGTATCATCTTGCCAGATGTTCAGGCGGCTATGTGATACCTTAAATATTATCCACACCAAACTCACTCTCGGTACATTTATGCCACGATATATGCTTCACAGACTCACCCAGCACACAGACTTATACAGTTCACAACACACTCACACACCACACTTAGTACAAACACAGTACACACACGAAACATAGTACTCTAAAGAGCAAAATACAGTGAAATCTAAAGAAAAGTTGCCAACACACCTCGTCCCACACACGGTCCCAGGGTTCACTCGTTTTCTCCGCTCCTTCACAACCTTCGGCAGTAGGTGGAAACTTTTTCCACACACTAAGTGAACCGTCCATCACTCGTGCACCGGCGACCTCGTATCCTGCGTTCCCTATTCACCTACTAATTACACTGTATTAAAGACGACGTAATCAGTCCATCACTCTCGACGACGTAGTTATAAGGTGGTTGGTTCCTCAGCCTGAAGAGTTCTGTTCCATAGTCTGGAACAATATGAAGCTGAAGCAACATAATGAAGACTTATATAAGGTCAAGGTGAGGTGCAGAAAATTTTGGCAGAAGAGGTGGGACCAGCTAGAAGTAAGAATGAAATCAAGGAATGGCAGTGTAGCAAATCTATTGGTTAGGTCCCTTTTAAATCCAACCTTTCTCACTTGTAACTAGAGGTCAGGCAATAAAGTTGCCAAAGATGTCCTCTGTACCAGGACACCGTTGTGTTGCAGTGTCTGACAGTGTGAATATGGTATAAAGATACCTGACTGCTGCACATGTGTTTTATCCGTAAAAGTGTGGTTTAATATCTAGAGAAGTGGGACATTTATACAGAAACCCAGTACAGATTTATGGAAGCCTTGTCTCGCTAATCTACTCGAGTTCTACGAGAGAATAACGGCAATCAGACAAGAAAGACAAGGAAAGACTGACTGCATATCCTTGGACTGTAGGAAAGCATTTGACACTGCATTTCTCCAGAGATAAATTCACAAGTAATGGCCTGACGATACTTCTGGAGAGAGAAACGCCACTAAATGTCACATAAGTTGCACAAGTGTCCTTTAACCTAACAAGTCGAGCGTGGTTGCAGACGCCTTGTCCTGCCACATTGATACAGTTAAAGTACATCTTCCTTTCAGTGAAAAGGAAGTTAAAACTGCCCAACGAACAGACTCGACCTGGTTTGGCGTAATTAGATTCCTGACAAATGAAGATGAAAACCCTGTCTGTGAAAATGCCAGCTGGTATCACTGACTTTGTTATGAGCCAAGATTTGTTGTACCGAGTAGCCGAGCTTGGTGCCCCCTGGCTGAAAAATACACCAGATAATTATCCCAAAGTCACTAGTGAATGTAGCCACGTAGCTGATTCATGATATACCAGGTGTTCCCCACCCTGACATGGATCGTTGTGTAAAACAAGCTAGGTTGAAGTATTTTTGACCTTGTATGGCAACAGATATTTCAGAATACGTAAAAGTGTCAAAGTATGCATGCAACACGAAGATGCAGAGATAATGTAAGAGGATCTAATTAGGTTTGTTCACCTACCTGTGTGCCATGGGAGAGCGTAACACTTGACTTGTTGACCAACTTCCAACGTTCCCTCCAAGGTAACAAGCATGTGTGTGTGATGGTTGATCATTCAGCACAATACTGTGAGTTAGTTCCTGTTACGCCTTACGATAAATAGTCTTAGTTCTTGCTTTTAAAGAATTCAGACGTAACAATTCTCACAGAGTTTGGGATAAAAATTAAACTTCCACTAAAACTTTACTCTTAATTAAAGACGTTCATTTGCTTATAAAATAGAGAATATGTATTACTGTACTGAATCCAGGTTTTCCATAATATAGAGTACATTACCCAGAGAATCTTTACACATTAATTAGAATTTTATACATTTTTCTATACTCTTGTCAAATAACAAATAGTCATCTTACACAAGACGTAATACATAAACACTTCTTCCTCTATAAGTTGTTTACTCTTCAGAGAGTTATCAAGGTAATCTTCCAGTACAGCAAAGTGAATTCGATATAGTTACAGACATAGATGTTTTATCTATTAGACCAGAATATGACAATCCAATGGATGTGGTCTAGTCGGAGATTAAATCCACACTGCTCCAAGTTAACAACCTAACTTGGGAGTGACACTGACCAGGACAAAGGGGGGGAGGAGGGGGTGTAAGTGAGCTCAGGAGAAGTGGAGTTAAACTATACACCCAAGAGGTTGGATCGTTATACCATTATCTTGCCTCTTTATATGAAACAACAAACACTATACACATGCACATATACATAATTTTCTGAATAACTTGGATGATGATGATGATGATGATGATGATGATGATGATGATGATGATGATGATGATGATGATGATGATGATGATGATGATGATGATGATGATGATGATGATGATGATGATGATGATGATATAAAATCGGACATTTCCAATTCAGCTAATAAAGGAAATGAGCCCGATGTAATATTAAATAAGATAGGATGAAAAAGGGCGTTGATATCACAATTCCTACTGCAGATAAAACTTCAGACGCAGGATCCAGATATTTCGAGGGACGAATTATCTGTAGACACACTAGACTATCAGATATTAAAGATAACTCTTGAAATAGGAGCCTTGAGAACTTGTGTACCTCAAATAAGATCAACCAGTTCATTACTCTCACCATCATCCAGCCAGCAATGGCTTTTTTTTTTTTTTTTTTTTTAACACAGGGTTTGACAAGGTTAAGGATCCCTAGTTTTATTGACAAGCTATTTACAGGTTAAGGATTCCTAGTTTTATTGATAAGCTATTTACAGGTTAAGGATTCCTAACTTTATTGGCAAGCTAAGAGCTGTTACCTACATCAACTCATTTGAAAGCATTTTTATTGTTATGAGACATGCAAGTAGGGAACAGGATGAAGTTGGAGCCATCTGTGGGCAGCATTTTCATTTGATCAACTGACTTTATCTCGTGGACATCATTATGCTGTACGAATGCGTTCCATACTCGAGTCATCCTGGGTATATATGATCTAAGATGGAGTGATGTTCTGGAGAAGGGTACAGCCAGAGTGAAGTTGCTGCTTTCTGCCCGTCTTGTGGCATAAAAGCTTAGCTGAAAAAGGGGGCGATAATGAAACTATTAGATGCTTAATGAGCCACAATTGGTCCTAACTGCAAAACATGGAATGAAGCAATGCCTGATGTACAGTGTCCAATTAATTTCACATATAATGTCTCAATAGATGACACAGCACATTCTTTTCTGTATGGTGTGGATAAATGTCTACCCTATAGTTGTTGTACTTTAACCCAAAACCCAGTTACAATAATGATGACTACAAATGACACGTACCCGTCTAGCAAAAGGTATATTTAAGATAAAAGCTTCAAAAATCAACAGCAGAATTTACCAGTCATGAATGCTCAAAGAAGGTCAACTAAAATTAAGGTTGGCTTGAGAACAATGTTAATCAATTTCAATAGAACATCTGCTTGATCAAAAGTTGCTTGGCCCATGTTGAGTTGTCGAACATATATCGGTAAGGGGTACCAAGTGCAGAGAGAAATAAAGTGTCCCATTCATCTTGAAGAATGGGGCACTTGTTATGCCAACCAGTGCTTCTTCAGTTCATCACAAAGAAGAACGGTGAAAGATGAGAAGTTTGAGGTAATCAGTCCCTCAGCCTGGACTCGATGTGTTCAGTATATGGAGGGAGAAGTGGCTTATATACTGCAGTCAGGTGAGTTGAAGTAGCAGGAGGCGGAATTACCAGTGGAAAAATCCACTAGTGTAAGTTCATACATATAGGTCAGGCAAGTGGTGAAGACTTGTATCAAGATCTCAAATGTTACTATGTCTGACAGATATATTGTAAATAGTTTAGAAAGCCGACAAATTGAAAAATCAGACACTGAAGAAGCCACTGGCTGGCGAAACGTTTCCATAAAGATTCCTTAATGTTGTACATGTGTCTCATTCTTCAACTTGTCGGTTTTCTAAACCATTTACATCACAGGTGTCTCATCTACATTATATGAAGTTGGTCTGTGAAGACATTAACGAGACTTCTGACAACGAGACAGGGTAGTTAATGCCTGACCAACCTACTGACACTACTCTTTCCAGTCTAGACTATCTTGTTGACACTCCAATTTCTTGCTCTAACTACTTGACTGACAATACAAATTGACTGTCGCTACCCATTGCCGTCATGGCAGGTGTTGAGGTCATGGCAGGTGTTGAGGCCATGGCAGTTGTTGAGGTCATGGCAGGTGTTGGTCATTGCCACTGAATCTGACCATTCCTCCTCTGTCAGACTGCCACTCTGTAAACATTGCCTTGGCAGAGTAAAACTTAAACATGAATACCTTGTCATTGCTTTACTTTCTCAGGATTTTGTCATAGAATTTTAATTGTTAAAATGCCTAGTGTTTAAGTGTTACACTGTGTAATTGTGTGTACTTATATGACTCTGTGCCAACTTCCAAAGTTCATTGCCGATTATTCTTGTCTTCTCCGAGTTCTGGACTTAGCAGCTCGTAGCCAGTTGTGCACCAGGTTACTCTTCTCCGTTATGTAAGACCCATGATATATTTTCTTTACAACCGTTCCTTTGCAGTGTATAGAATCATGGCTTAATATTAATCCTTGTAGAGTCGGCTAGTCCGTATATACATGACATCCTTGTCATACTACAAGGATGACGAGAATGTCATGTTTGTAGCATGACCCGAGCTGTCAGTAGAGACGGTTACCCCTTGCGACATCATTCGGCGGCAGTTGCCCTTGTGATTCAGTCTCACTGCGCTCGTAGTCTCGGGCAGTGGGGAAAATTATTTTAGTGACAAGACCTAGGCCAGTCAGGTCTAGCTAACACTCCATGTTCTGCAGAGCACGATAGGTTATCTATATCCAGAGTTCCTGCACAACTAACAGAGGTGGTAGAAGCAAACTCAATAAACAGTTTCAAGGATAGGATTGATAGAGCCAAAAATGCCGGCGATTGGCGTTTAAGAGGCGGAGACAGGAGCTGAGACTCGACCCCAGTAAATACAATTCTATAAGTACACACACACACACACACACACACACACACACACACATACACATGCTCAGTAACTTACACAGTTGAGCCAATATTGCCACATTCGAATTATTCAGTTAAATTAAAGACGGCTTTGTGGGGATGACAATTTATCTCTCACGAAGAAAGTAATTTCCAGGAACACTTGGTCTTGAGTTATGTCCGAAGTTTTGGTTACCACCACCACCAACACCACCACTATCACCATTGTCACCACCACTTCTATCCTCTTTGGCTTTCGTTTTCTAAGATTTTGTCACTGTAATGAAAATAAAATTGCCTCTTATTCTCCCTCTGGAAGATTAATGGTTTCAATATCATTAATGTTTCTTGTTGGGACTTTCCGTTAGGGTCAAAGTGCCTGTTGGGGTATTCTAATAGGGACCCGCAGGTGGCAATATAGGGACCCGCAGGTCTCAGGTCATTCTAATAGGGACCCGTGGGTCTCAGATCATTGTAATAAAGACATGCAAGTAACAGGTCTTTGTAATAGACACCTGCAAGTCTCAGGTCATTCTAATAGGGACCTGCAGGTCTCAGATCATTATTTTAGACTGGCAAAGTGTGTCAGTAATAATTATCCGTAAATAATAATCGCTAATTATGTTAATTTGTTATTATTTAATTTTATTATTCAAACGAAGATGGTACCTGAGAGGAAATAAAACTGGGAGGTAAAGTGTTGTGTGAGAATACAGTGCAAAGAATGGAGTGATAATAAAGTACGAAGTAGAGGATGGTGTGTGTGTCTGCGTGTGTGTCAAGATTACAGACCTGAGGTGAAGCTGAGAGAGGGGCCGCTAGAGCGAGAGAATGAGACGCCTGAGAAATATATTTCTGAAGCGGGTCTTAACAGCCTCAATGTCCCGATCGTACAGAGAGGGACTTAATTACTTTTTTCCCTTCCTGTAATTACAGGAACAGAGTTCTGCTCGTGGTCTGCGCGTACACACGTCGTACGCAGGCTGCCTGAACCCCCGCCTAGCACGTAGCATATACTTAAGATACATTTTGTTGAACTTTCGTCTTTTGGGCAGACAGTCGTTGCTCAGATTTAGAGTCTGTGAGGACTTTCATTGGCACACACTTCATAATTGCTCTTGGTAATTATAACAGCCGTTAAGTGAAGTAAGACTTCCTCGTGTAAGTGGCAATATCTGGGTCTGAGCAAGAGAACCAGTGCCAGCTACTTGTTGACGTAGCGACAGGTACTTGCAGATGGTGTGAGAGGCACTTGCAGAAGCAGCAGCTGTCACTTGCAGACGGTGTGAGAGGTACTTGTAGAAGCAACAGCTGTCACTTGCAGACAGTGTGAGAGGCACTTTCAGAATAAACAGGCGAGCTTAAAGACAGAATTACTTCTCCAGACGCAGCGAATACTAGCTGCTGATAGGGCGAGTTGTACTCCCGGTCACTCAACACTGTGATGAATGGGACACTTGTGCAACATCTGGTAATCTTTATCGAGGAAACTTTTCACCAACCAGTAGCTTCTTCATCCCAGTACAGAAAAGGCTGGTGAAACGTTCCCTTCAATAAAGTTTTTTCCAAAAATGTTGCACAAATGTTCATGAAACTAAAAAATTTCTAAAATTGTCCCCTTTTTTTTTTGTGGGGGGGGGTTTTTCCCTGCCTTTTTATTTTTTTTTTAATGGGGATGTAGGCCTTACGGGGGGAGTAAACGTGAGGCTCATAAATTTAATCTTGTATCCAATATAGGGAAATTTTTAAAAAAAAAACAAAAACCTTTTTATCTGTTTGTTGTGTTTCCTATGAAAAGGAGCATAAGTTTTTAAATTCTCTTACTGGCAACACTAGAAGGAGCCCCGGGCCTAAAAATCTTTTTAAAGGGAATTCCCAAAGAACTGGGATATTTTTTTTTCTTTACGGGGAAAAGCAGGGGGAAGAAACCCCTGCGGGGAAAACCCTGAAAAAAGAGGATCCGATTACCTTTAAAAAATTTCGTCCCGGGCCATAAGGAACGGGAAGAAAAATTAAGCGTGTTTTTAAAAAAAAAAAATT